GACAGCTTTGGAGCTGCCTGTGGTAATTTATGAATACTCTATATTCTATATGTTTGGCTGCTTGTTGTAAGAGGGTTTACCGCATGAAAATGTGGGGTTCATTCAAGAAGCGGCTGGCTGCATGTAAGCAGGAAAGGGAACAATGGCTTCAGCTAGCCATATAGCTCCCAACACTTGAGGTACAATACAAGTGCCTTCGCTCCGAAAGTCCACCACCACCACCCTTCTGAGATCACCAGATTGTTTTTTGGGCAGTAGAATAAAAAGGGCCTGTTCAACTGAGAACAAAGGACTTTGGCTGGATTTTAAGACAGTCCCTCAAGAAGAGGGGAAGGAGAGTTAAGAGGAACAGAATGAGACTTAGACTCCCAGAAGTTAGGGGTCTAGGGCAAGACAGACATGCTTGTAGACCTTTTGTTGTTTCATAAATCTTCTCTTATGCCAGGTTTTGGCTTTACTGTTAAGATTAAGCATTATTTTGTTATAAGAGGACTGTTTTGGGTCACTGTAATCTAGACTCCTGAAGTGAAGAACCTCAGGTGCCCAAACCCAGTTAGTCTTTTTGGGCAAGCACAGCTAATCCATAGGGTACTGTAGCCTAGGGACAGTCTACCTCTCTTGGGATATAATCCTACAATTCTCCTATTCATAAAGGCCCAAGGCCTGAGACCTGACAGGATGCACTCAAGAGACCAGAAGAGGGGTCATAAGTTCAGCTACCCTTGCAAATGTGACTGTTTCCCCAAAGGGAGGAAGTCTGAAAGACTGAAAATAAACAGCCCCGAAGTTGGGAGAATCACATGGGGGTACTGTAGGCATAACCAGAGCTCCCATCTTATTCTCTGCAAGTACCAGTCCTTGCTGCTGCCACAATGAACCTAAGATCCCTGTTTACGGCTTGTGAGAACTTCAGAGACCAAGGGAGGAGAGACTCACCACAAATGGATCTAGGTAGCCTCCTACTACACTTTAGGGTGTGTGAGGGTGAGGCTCTCACGTCACCCTCACACAGAGAGGCAGTAGTTCCTGAGAGAATGTTGTGCATCTTGTACTCTGCCCCATTACTGGAGTCTCTTATCCCCACCTACAAACAGACCAATTTTGAGCACTTATGACTGAATGTTTTCTTGCCATTGACTAGTTGGCATTCTTAGCTAACCCAAAATGTGCGTTGGAGTGAGTTTTTGCATAAGGGAGATCTATTCGGTGGGGTGTTTGGAGGTGAAGGCTGGGTCTTGGGGGTTATAATTTTAGCCTACAATTACCTAATGCAGTAAAGGCAGTCAGCCTTTTTTTACAATAATCTATTTTCAGATTCTTACCCCTTGTGGGTTTATACAAAGCCCTCCAGGGTGGGCTACCCACTCCTGTAGCTTTCCCTTGTCCATGTGTGCATCTTATTAACAAATCAGGTCACTCCCTTTAGTGTAAGTGGGGTACTCTGGGTTTCCCTGCAAATGAAGTTCTGGGGGAGGAGACTAAAGGGTGCACTCAGGGTGTACTGACTACTTTGCCAGCTTGAGGCACCACACATTCTTTAATCTGGTACCCAACATCCTTCTAGAAACCCCCTTCCCAAGGTTCTAATAGCCCCATGATTGTTGCTAAAACCCTGATGACAGCTACCCAGATGACAGTGCCCTTACTTGGAGCCAAGGGCAACCAAAATATTACCCTTGAGTTGAACCGGGGGGCGGGGGGGGGGAGCACTGATACTCTTCCGAGCTCCAGCCACAAAATAAGCTCTGCCCACATGAGACAGCATTCGCTATATATTGTGCAGATATTCCAAGTATGATCATGTACACCCTCTGGAATCCTTGGGCTCAGTTTGCCGTAGGTGAGATCCAAGTACACCTATTAGCTCAGCTTGGCTTTCTCTTGGTGAGGCCCACCACGCCTGCTGGACTTCTTGAGCTTGAATCCCTCCTTGGGCGCTCAGATGCCCAATTGAAAATGCAGACAGAGCTCACTACACCAGTTACATATTTCCAAGAACATATTCATTTTTAAGATCAGAAGGAACCATTATGATAAACTATTCTGACCTCCTGTATAACACAGGCGTTAGAATTTCACCCAGTAATTCCTGCATCAAGCCCATAACTTTGGGTTGAGCTAGAGCATATCTTGTAGAAAAAGATCCAGTCTTACAATTCAAGAGAATCCACCCCGTCCCTAGGTAAGTTGTTCCAATGGGTAATTACCCTTACTTTAAAAAAATCTGCACTTTATTTCTCTTTGAATTTGTGTAGTTTCAATTTCTAGCCAGTGGATCTCATTATGGCTTTCTGCTGGATTAAAGAGCCCTTTACTATCAGAATTTTTCTCTCCGTTACAGACTGATTAAGTCACCTTTTAACTGTCTCTTGGATAAAACTAAATATTTGGATCTTCTTTAGTCTCTCATTGTAAGGCAGGTTCTTCAGACCTTGAATCATTCTTGTAGCTCTTTTCTGAGCCCTTTCAACTCTGTCAATGTTCCTTTAAAAATCTGGATTCCAGAACTGGACACAACCCGCACTCCATGTGCAAAAGGATTCCTAGCTTTCCAGAACTAGAGTTCCGGAAGTTAATAATATAATCAAGTATCAACTTTTGCTGGGATGCCATTGAGAAGTTTCCTGTCTTCACATTCAGCTTTAAAAAACCCTGCTCTTCAAAAAGCAGCCACCACAAGGAAAAAATATTAAGGATACATTTTTTGAGCAGAATCTTGTGTGTCTTTGTGTAACTTACTAGTGAGAATTATGGAAATCCTCTATTACATTCTTAACTGTACATCAAACTACAGTCCTTGCTTTCATCACATACAGACAAAAATATTCAGTTACATTATCTAGTGACCATTCAGCCATGTGACTGATGAAAGTAATATGAAAAGGACATCTTAGAAGCTGATAATGCACTAAATATGGTTCTCAACAGCACCAGTGTAAATCCATAGTAATGTCTTTAATGTGGACTACATAACCTCTTGATGTCCCTTCCAGCCCTACATTTCTATTATTTTGTGATGATAAAGACTGAAATTCATGGGATTACTCTGGTAATTGAGATGGAATCCAGCCCATTTTCTTTATTGTATGATTAAGGATTTGCCATTTACGCTGAGAGGAGTTACTTTCCAGTTGCCACTAAACAGTTAATCCAGATGCCCTTTTACAATTAATCCACATGGTTTTGGGAATTTGTCGCTTTAGGGTGATCAAGTACTTATTTTAAAATATTTTGGTACTTTGGGCTGGGAGTTTCAAAGGACTCTAAGGGTGTTAGGTGCCTGATTCTAATTAACAATGGGATTTGGGCACTAATTTCCTCAAACTCTTTTAAAAATCTCAGCATTATTGTACAGCTGATCTTAACTGTATGCATCATAGAACAGGAGGTAGCACTTTAAAAATAGCATTGTTGAACTAAATCCAGTAAAAGAGATTCTGGCTTTTTCCTCCTTGAGACACTATATATTTAAACACTCAAAATTAATTGAATAACATTAAGTTTGTGGACATATCAGCCACTTAACCTTTCAGATTAATTTAGTAATGGCAATATCTTTTGGTTTGACTCTTTTCAGATTAAAAATTTGCCTCTTATAGAGGAAAACCATGAATTAAATAACTTTAAAATTGGGTATTTCTCAAGGATAATTAGAGGTTTCCTTTCTTACCAACAATAATCCAATATTGTGATTAAAATACTACCTTGTAGTACTTCAGTTAGTTCTGCTAAAAAATTGATTTATTTTCGTAGTCACTTTCCAGTGTAACATCCTGTCCCCTCTACGTTACAGCAATAGTTAGGGTTTTATCTGTCAGCTTATTGTTAGTATCACAAGTAAAATTTTGTGCAACTCTTTGAAAATCTTACTCTAACTATATATACTCAATTCCCTGGTTTGGCTCTCTATGATTCATTAGTTGCAATGACGTCATATTTGAACGCACACAAGTTATCTGTCTGTCATATTTCATTCCCTTTTCTGAAGAAATTGGGACCCACTAACAGTGAATTTGGAGATAGATCCCCACAACCATTTCACTTGGATGTGAACAAAGTGAAATAAAAATCCCAGTGCTTCACTGCATTGAGAAAAGAGCAATTCTAGTCACAGTGAAATTTACACATTGACCAAAACTAATCTGTGTTTAAAAAAGATTTCACCATAAGAAAGTTCCAGTGTTTGCGCGAATCTATAAATATACACTATATATAGATGTGTATGTATACATATGTATAGGTGCTGCATATACAGAGAGACATGCATACATACTTATTGGATGTGTATATAACACCCATTTATATACACATCTATTCCTCATCTTGAAGCTATCATTAAGATTTAAACAAGAGAATTTAGAGCATAGAGAGGTATATTTTCAAATCCTGGTGTAGGGAGTTTATCTGCAGTATTAAGAGTGTTTATAGAAACCCAACCAGAGTATTTATTACAAAGAAATCTTTACATAAGTGCTGGAATGGTTTGCTGAATAACCAGATGTTGCTGCAGAGTCTCCCCACCCCGTTTCTTTAATAGTTTGATTAATCCTGCACATAAAACGGGGGCTGATTAAAAAAAAAATTCTACGCTGCAAACATCTCAGCATCGGGACACAGCTGAAGTCAAATCATTCAACTGTACATCTCAGTTGCTTTTATTGTGTTTTGAATACAATAAAACCTTCCAAGAAGAAACATTGACCTATATATATATATTTTGTACTGTAAACACTGACATCTCTGAGCAGCTCAGAGTGCATGCAGAAACTTACATGCAAGTCGAGTGTTTACCATTTGTTAGAAGAGAATTATACAGCTGATTTCCAAGACAGCGTTACTGCTACAGTATTGTACTAAAATCTCAGCTATTTCAAACCCTCTAGCTAATGGCCATTAGGGTAGAAATCAATGATTATTTATCTGCTGGAAGAAGGAAAAAATAAATGAACTCTCTGAATATGTTGCTTAACATTGCCTACCAGAAACTGTTTTCTACTCACAGAAGGACAGCAGCAGTAGGGAAATCAGACCCAGCCTCTTCCAGTAACCCATTTTCTGGATCCTGCCAGCAACTGGAAACCCAGCTTCACAGTTTTGATCAATTCATCCTCCACCAGTGCAGCCAGTCTGTGATTATTTTGCTCCCAACCCAAAGCTCCCAGGCTTGTGAGGCTCCTGGCTAAACTTGCAGGGAAGGCGGATCCAGCTGTTTCAAATCCAGCTGTGTGTGGGGTCCGCCCAGGAACTGGAGTTTATGAACAAACTAAGCCTGACTCTCCTCTCTGACTATATACAAATATGGGGGGGGCGGGGAGAGCCTGGGGGAAGAGCTCTGGCTCTGAGAGCAGAGTTTGATTTTCTGATGACAATATTCAGCTGCTTCAAACTCCATATTGTCCAAGGATCTTTGAAGAGCACTTCACTTCTATTGCAGGCATCTAATCAAAATGTTATGTTTACTACAACACACCCCTTTCATTAGAATAAAACCCAGATTGCGACGGTTCAGTACACTGAGAATTGCTAATTTACCACTTTTCTCACCGTAACTCTACTTTTGTCAATACATTTGTAAAATTATTTGTTTAAAAATGCTTAATTGCAGGATTCAGGACAACATACCTCTTCAGAAAGGGCGCTTCAGCGCATGCTTAACTTTAAGCATATCTTTAAATTCCATTGATTCAATGGGAGTTAAGCACATATTAAAATGCTTTCCTGAATTAGAAACTAAAAATAATAATGCTTAGCATTTATGCAGTGTTTTTCTTCCCAAGATCTCAAACTGTTTTTCAAAGGTTTGTAAGCAATATTCTCCCCACTTTACAGATGGGGAAACTCTGGTACCTAGAAAAGAACTGGCTTGCCCCAGTGAGAAAAATGGGAATAAAACGCGTGTCCTGACTTCCAGTCCTGTCTTCTATCCCCTGAAACACACTGCAAATATGCTAAAGTAGTGACCAGAGTAATTTACCATGACAGAGAAAGAAGCGATGATATCCATTCTTTTACATCCAAAAAGTTACTCTAATTTGAGGCTCGTGTTCTGCAATTATTGCTAGGTGATACATCCAGAAATTTCTGGATATACATAGTACTATGTATATATACTGTAAAGCTATGATTTTTCACTTACTCGTTTTACAGTTCATTAAACTCTCTCTCTGTGTTGCTGATGATATATATCCGAGTTTAGCTTCAATAAGAAATGAAACATCAGGTCCTTATACTTATCTTCACATTCAAGGCCCATCACAATCTATCCCCATCCTAGCTAGCATCTCTACTTTGCCGTGATGTCTACAAAACACTGGACAATGATGAAGATGCTGCTTTGCTGAGACCATTGGCTGTCAATGCTGTCTCATTGTTTCCTTGTACTCTCCCATCTGTCTATATCCATCTATTGTCTCTTGTCTTACACTGAGGTCTGGTCTACATGGGGGGGGGGGATCGATCCAAGTTACGCAACTTCAGCTACTTACTTAGATCTACTCACCGCGGTGTCTTCACTGCGGTGAGTCGACAGCTGACACTCCCCCGTCGACTCCACCTGCGCCTCTTGCTCCGGTAGAGTACTGGAGTTGACGGGAGAGTGCCCGGCAGTCGATTTATCGCGTCTAGACTAGACGCGATAAATCGACCCCCGCTGGATCGATCGCTGCCCCTCGATCCTGCGGGTAATGTAGACAAGCCCTCCGAGTGTTAGCTCTTTGGGGTAGGGACTGTCTTTTTGTTCTGTGTTTGTACAGACCTAGCACAATGGAGTCCTGGTAAATGACTGGGGCTTGTAAGTGCTATGATAATACAAATAAATAATATTAATAATATTGAATGGCATTTTCATATAAACTGCATCCATGGAGTTATCTGTATACATTATACAGCCAGAGAGTCAAATAACGAATAGAACAGAAAGGAAGAGAGATATTAAGGGAGAAAAACAAGAGTACTGAAATTAGATGGCGAGCCAATGAGGTAAAGAAATACAACATGGCTGTTCTACACATCAGGAACTGCAGAGGAGAAGGCTCTAGGATTGATAGTGGTGAGAAAGAAAGGAGGCCAAACTGGATAAGCAGAGGAGCCTGGGAGAGGCCCAGAAAGGCAAAGTCTATGATGCAACGAGAGTAAGTCTATGAAGGACTGCCTAACTTAGCAGAATGTATCTTGCTTATAGCCTCGGTAGGTTTGTGTTTGAACCCTGCAGAAGCCCCGGTGGCAGAAGTGAAAATTATTCTCCAGCACTTGAAGTCTTTAAACCATGACTGGGTGTTTTTCTACAAGATATGCTGCAGTAGCCCAACCAACAGTTATGGCTTTGATTCAGGAATTACTGGGTGAAATTGTATGGCCTGTGTTATGCAGGAAGTCAGACTAGATAACCATAATGACCCCTTCTGCCATTAAAATCTGTGGAATAAGGAGGGAAGTTTTGAACTGGAGGCTGAAATGTTTAGAATTCTTTGCTTAGGGGCAGTGTCTAAATATGTAGAGATCTACAACAGTCGAGAACTTTCCTAAGAAATACAAAACTGGAGAATATGATCCTGCCTAAGAGTAAACGGAGTCAGATTGTCAGCTGGTGTAAACTGGTATTGTTTGATTACAACTGAGCTATGCTGATTTACCCCAGCTGAGGCTCTGGCCTTGTATGTCTAAGTATTAGCAAATGTTTAATAACCTTTTAAAAAGGAATTATTGTCCAATCTATATATTAAAATACTGAATTTTTAACCAGGGGTTCTTTGAGCAGATCACTGACTCCCTCTCATTTTGGAATTAGCGCAGTTCAAAAGGTCCACAGTTCATTTCTGTTTGGCCCTTCGGTTTCCAGGCTTGAGCACTGTGTGTTTTTTGTGTGCGTGGAAGTCAGAAGCAGGCAGGCTTTTGTTGGAAATGTCACAGATTATTCATGATGGATGTTTAAAACTCTTTAAAACCAGGAAGAATCTCCTGCGGAGAAGGAAAACTTGGAGAGAAACGACGTCCCCAGCAGGAGCCCAAAAGAACTTTAAACAGTAGTGGACACTGACAAGACAAGGTCACTGTACAGTCAGTAGCTCTGAGTACAGCAAAATTTCACCAATGGAATTTTTTAATGATCAGAAGCTAGAAAACTAGTGATAGCCCTGAACTAAAGGCCTAGATCAAAATAGCCTCAAACTACAGGCATGTTTGAAATCTGCACCTACATGTGGCTCCAAATGATCCCTAACTTTTTATGAGCCAAAACAAACCCTACTGTGAATGCTACTATGTTTAGGAGCATTCCCAGCCAAGATCCAGGTTTTACAGTTTGCATTCATCTCCACTGAAAACTAAAAATAGGAGATAGATGGAACATTAAAGGGCAAGAGTGTGGAATACAAGAAAGTACATAACGATATGCCCGTGCAATATAATTTTAGGAAAAGATTCCTGGGTCAAATTCACCCACCTACGCTGGAAACGGGGGATGCTCACCCTGGATGCAGGGCAGCAGGTTCTCCTGTGGGATGGTATCTTTGAGATCCAGTTGGGGTTCTATAATATCCCTGCCGGTGGAGGTTGTCTGGAAGAAATGTTGACTCAAAGCAACATCCAGCTGGCTCGGCCCTCTCCTGGGGCTGCCCTGACCATTTCTAATGCTGCTTTAATCAGATCTTCCCTAGCCCTTGGCACAGTGCGGTTTATAAGTGGCCAACGCTACTGAGCTTCTCTGTAGGCAAAGCTCCCGCTCCTGGGGCCCACAGCCTGCATTGCTCCAGAGTGTGTGTGGCCTGGACACTTGTCTGCTTTCAGATTTTTGTTTTAATAACCTACATTTTATATTTGTCTGCTGAGCTGATGCTATTTATTGTCAATAAAGGCTTGTCTACACAGCATGATAGTGCATGGCAACTCTGGAGCTGTGACCACTCGAGACGTGAGGGAATGTCAAGTTGGTGTGCTGTAGGTTCCCACCGTGGCTTGCCGTGCACTAACTCGCTGTGTAGACAAGCAAAATGTTTTACATATATTTTTCAGATGGGGAAACTGAGAAAGGGAGATTAAGTTACTCTCCCAAGGACATGGAGCGAATTGGTTTCAGAGCCAGGCTTACAGCTTTTTTGTACTCTTTTTTGGCTCTCTGCTCAAACCACTAGACCAGGCCTCTGCCTCACAAATAGCTCAGAGCTGAAGTCCTCCCTTATTTTTCAGACTTTATGCAAGAAAAAAAAACCCAAACTTACTGGGCGCTTTGCCTGGCTAAGGAATGAGTAAGAAGTGAGTAACATCTTCAGGATTTGGCCCAAAGGGCTTTAATTTATATTCCAGTGCTTTGCTTCAGTGACAGAACACAATGAACTTTGGAACAAGACATTGGGGAGGAGGAGGAGATAAATGGTGTTTTTTTTTAATTGTTGACTTGTTTATGCCTTTTGGTGTAAACTCCCCTGTTCCTCTATTAGAGGTCTGGACAACCTCATAACTCAGGACATACTGAAGGCTGGATTTTGAGCTCAGTCAAAAAGATTTCTGCAGGATAATTTTAAATTGCATTGTGGGAGTCGTTTTTCCTAAGTTCTCACTTAGAGACTGAAAGACGTTTTACTAGAGAACCAAAATCAGACTTCAGCCACCTGAAACAATGCATTGTGTATTTAAACAAAGGGCCAGATTCAGCCTTGGTAGAACTAAGGAACCTGGCAATAAAAAAAATTGCCCCAGGAAGAGGTTGTGGTAACAGAAAGTGGCTTCAATCTCCCCACCAGAGGGGGCATCCACCCCAGTGGGTAGTACTGTCTGGGATTGGTCATAGACAGAGCAGCTATGAGGAATGTTAGCAGGAGCTCTGGGTGGTAAACTTATGAACAGCCAGGCAACAACACTGCTGGCCTTTCTTTCACGTGAATCACCCTTCCTCCCCCAGTGCAGAGAAAATCAGCTGGCACACAAAGGTATAATTGACACCTCGCTGTGTCAGCCAGAGTAAATCCAGCCCCAAATGTGTAATTTTAAGGTAGTCAAGTCCTTTCAATGATTGTTCATCCAATAATAAAGCAGAATGGAACCTTGTCTCAGTCTCTCCCACTGAGCTTCCAACCAACCACCACCTTGTATGCTGATACCTTCTTAGCAAGATAGCTACTATCAGCAGTGGGTTCAGAAATGACAGCTGGACAA